AGATTCATAAGATAATGTTAACACAAGTATATTTTAATTCATCACTTGCTTGACACTGTTCTAATGAGGAGCTAAACACAACAAAATCAGAAAAACCACCTCTTAAAAAGTTCACAGAGCAAAGATTTCCAGCAAGGCAGTTTTCTACTCTATGTGTGAAACCTTTCTTATTATGACTCACTGAAAATTAAATATGCAAAATTCCAAGCTGAGCTTAGTTTTGCTTGTGCACAGAGACCTTTTTACTCTCATTCTTCGAAAACCTCATTTTGGATCTTGCTGCCAAGACCAGAGAGAGGAAAGCCGGCCAACAATTCCAAATATAACATGCGGAGGCAAATGCTACAGAAATCTGTCTGACAGGAAGCAACCATGCTGAGGTCTGCTGAGGTAGATGCAGTTCTCAATCAGACCGTTTTGGTCCCTCAGTCTGGAGCAAAATGCCATGAGAAAGCAATCAGAGGAAACCATCCTGTTTCCAGTCAGCTTCATTAGATTCCTTATGGTATTCACTTTATTGGTGAGAACAATTCTATCCACCTCAAACAGAAAGATGGGTCAGCAGCAACTAGAGCTCCACCAGTTATTCTAATTTATTTTTTTTAAATCGATTTTTCAGGGACCAGTTCATGGAGACTTGTATTTTCAGAAAGCTCAACTTATGGCATGACACTTATGATAAAGGTCAGGTTCACCAGGGAACACTTAAAAACAGATCTCTTTCCAATTCTCCAGGGGCAGGTTTAGTAACTCCCGCTACCACTGTGAATAATTGATAAACCAATTAAACTTGGATAAAATGATTACACTATCACTTAAACAAATACGAAGACATCATTAGCTCAAGTTTAATTCTTTAGTGAGGTCATGGGACAATTCAATTCCTCACCCAGAAGACCATTACAGAAAACCTAGAAACAGGGCTCCCAGTTTAATTGGGAAGAGAGGACTGACTGTTCCTCATACAGAGAGCACTGGCCCCTGAGAAAAGACAAGACAATTAAAACAGCTTATTTGACCAGTCATTTCTTCCAGTAGTTTATCTTAGAAAAATCCCCTGTGGTTATGGCTATGTCACTAAACCCAAGAGGTAAAGTTTGCCTAGAATTGCTTCTGGAACATTTTTCTAGATCCTGTTCACTGTGAGGCAAGCTGGCAAGACACATTTGAAACTGGAAAAGGATTTGTCTCACAAAGCTTTGAATGGTGACCAACAGCAGCACTGCAGTTATGACTTATAGGGTTCGCAAAACTCCATCTTCACTCTTGTACATTCAATGTGATGAAAATTACCATATTGTCCTAATCTAAGTAATCTAGTTTTAGCCAGTTAAAAAGGGAAGAGAAAACAGCCACACCTTCTAACCTCACTCCCACATGGCATAAACAATAATGGGACAGAATGTGAGCACAGTCAGGAATCAAAATTTTCTGAGTCTGTTAACTGCTTGACCCAACAACTCTGGCTGAGATGGTTAATGAAATACTTCA